CCACATGATAAATAATCATCGGAAAAAGCCTGACAATAACATATTTAATCATCTAGAATTCAGCTATCTATTTAAGGAAAATTAAAGTATATGTATTTATTTGTCACAGTTATTTGCGAGCAGTCGTCCCCATTTTATAGTTGGTAAAGTGGGAATAAATATACAAATCAATACCAAAATATAAACAGTCCAATTACCATGACTAAAAGATGCAGTTTTAGAAAGTGCTTAGGGTTAATGTTTTACACACTTCATAAAGTTCATGTTTTTATGTATGACTTTATAATCGCAACAAGTATATAAGACACGATTAACCAGAAATTTCTTGTGTCAATGTCTCTTCGAATAAATATTACATAGCTTCAGAAAGTTCACATGGGTAAAATAAAGGTTTCTAACACCCTTCCGTATACTAAACCAGTTTTATTCATAAAAATATATCCTGTTCTAATATACAAAGAAAATTGTCCTTTTCATTTCTTTTAAACTCACAAATTAAGAGTATGTGTCAAAAAAAAAACCTGGGAACTGTGCATCTCAGTGTAGCTTTGCGACCGTCTCCCAGAAGCATTCACATGCTCCGTGTCCAGTAAATTGAGTCTTGGTTAGCCGAGATTGAGCAATGTGACACATGCAATTATAGAATTGCTTACACTTTGGTTCACTATGGCAAACGGTAGCTAGGTTGAATTAATAGTTACAGCATCCGCTGAGGCCCCATGTTGTTTAATATCAATGTTATGGGTTTGTTTGTCTGTTGTTGGTGGTGTATTTTTATCGTTACGTGTGAGGCAGTCCCTTTGCAGTGATCTGCATACTGCCACATATGGAAATTGAGGTGGGAAAAGGAAATATGTGAAGAAGTTTAATATTACTGTATGAAATTTTCATTGCACATTTTAAAGTTGGTTTTGTAAACGTTTTCTTTGTTGGTGATATGTTTATGCTGCTCTGTGGTATTATGTCAACCTTTTAGCATCAACAAGTTTCACATAAACTGTATATAGTTGTGAAAATGTCGGTGATCTTTTAAACTTATGCACATGAAAGGTTACATATGACATGACAGAAAAAAAACTTACTTTTATATTACGTGAAATTTAAATGTCATTCAAACTTATTACCAGATCTGCAGGAAGCTTAGTAATTGCTTGCAGATTAACTGTATGCATGTACACACCCCAAACAACTATTATATACTATATCATGAATGACTGTGGGACACATACAGTTCTATAACCAAGGGTTTCAATTTAGAGTGGGTGGTCATTTTAAGTGCAAATCTAGTATGAAAACATCCTCCAAAATATTACTTCCCGAAAATGTAATTTTGTCCAAATATGCCAGACTTGCTTATAACAGCCCGTACCTCAACAGCCACTATCGGCTATATGAAGGGTTTAAAATTGAAAAGAGTATTGAAATATGCATACATTTAAAGTGTATAAACCCATCTTGGAAAATTCAAAAAGAATTTTACCGTTCAAAGTGTAATTTGTACCATGGTCCAGAGATACCAGACTAGACAGGTTCAAAAAAGCCTTAAAGAACCATTATCTACTATAGTAATGACTATGGGATACATATATCTCTATAACGAAGTTTTTAAAATTGGTAAGGGTATCGACGTATGCGGTCATTTAAAGGGAAAATCTATCGAGGAAAATTCCTTATAAAAATGTCACTTATCACTATCCTAAAGTGCAATCTTGAACATGATCCAAAGATACCATACCTAAAAGTCTTAAGCATTATCTACTACATAAATGGGTGTGGGATATAAACATCACTGTAACGAAGGGTTTAAAATTTGGAAGTATATTAAAGTATGCGTTCATTTAAAGTGTAAAATCTAACGAGGGAAATTCAGAAGAAATATTATCATCGCCCCATGCACTACCAGACTAAAGATGTTCAATAAGCCTTAAAGTCGTCACCTTGAGTCATTCCTTTGTCTAGTAGACATTTTAATGTTGACTAGACAGTCCTAGCCCTCATCGGAGAAATTCCCCTCAATTAGCTATATACAATGGTTAGGTAAACACTGGTATGTCACCAAGCCATCAAATTAGCTGTTAAGGGCAACGGAAAAGGACTTCAATTATCGTGCTTACAAAAGATGAATGATGTTTTGGACAAGATGAACACATGTAGTGCAAGCGAGATCCTGACCCTCTCACTTCAAAAAGCTATTCTAAACAATAGTTGAAGTAGATCACTGGTTGAGCTCATTCAAATAACATTTCACATTGAATGAATAATCTGATCTAGTTCCATGTAATGGAGTGATTATTTGCAGCAAGCAAAAACATTAACACGCGTTGGGTGTATATTTAGATGCAAAGTTATCCAATGATTTATTTATCTTAATTACAGAACACTTAAAAGCCTTAACAATCTTTCAATTTAAACAATGTTAGTGTAATGCCGATCTTTTCATATTTACACTTAGGTTTAAATCATAGAGTAACCAGTAATTTAGTTGGGGTTCTAAAGAATCCAATTAACGAAGTTATAAACTAAGTTTTTTGTTTTATTAAAGCAGTTAAATTGCAGCCATCGGTTTAATGAAGAAGAAAAGACATTAGATTTGCATTAAATTGTATATTTTAGTAATATATACTTGAGTGGCATTGTGGAAAATTGGTAATCAACGTGTGCACTTGTTTCGATACTTCAAGCTTCTTTTAATAACAGATGTGAAAAAAGAACTGATTGTAATTCCTTTAAAATTCATGTCATCAGTTTAATTCATATAATTTTGCATTCGCTTGGAATTATTGTAATATCTCAAGGGTTATATATTATATACCGCTATACGATGTGGAATGAAAACACCGCCTTGCTTGCCTCCCACACCAAAGCAGATGGCTGGTGATGTTCTATTTTTTAAACCATGAAAATATTGTTATAAGATGGTATATAATGATGTGCGTATTCTTTCTATGCTATGGGTGTATGAATCAATATTTAACACATATATCAGCACCCTGGCACGGAATGTTCAACTACTTGGCCCATGTGTTACCCACACCGTCCAACATATTCAAAACATATTTGACCTTAGGTTTAACAAGGTGTTTAGCTGGAAATGTGATAAATGCTTGAAAATAATCCACAAGAAAAATAGATTATGATATGAAGGTATTTATGATGTGTTTTATCTTGAACTATTTTCAGTTTGGGTTTTACATATTTCAAAACAAAAAATTCGCACGATCTAAATTAAAACAGTGTTCAGCTTCCTTTCTTCTGTTTTCGTTTTTAGGGGTGTCTCACACATCATATTTTATTCTTGAAAAATTTCTCTAAGCATATTTATATAATTTTTTTAGTGGCATTTACACAACATCTTGTTTTTAAAGTAACACTGCTAAGCTAAGACGTCAAGCGCGGGAAAACGATTTATCACTCTTTATGCAAATTTTTGTGGGTCATTTCTCGGTTCTGACTTTAGGTTGTTACAGTTGGATAGGGGATGAAATGGCGTTTAATGACATAATATTATTACGTCAACCGGAGAGGGGTTTGTTTTGTTGGAAATATATAGAGAGAGAGGGGAAGAGAAATCGACTAAATCTAGATCATTTCGGGACTAACATGGTTAAATTTTATTTCAATAATTCGCTAGCGCGTTGGGGTCTTTAGCAGTAGGGGAAACATTTAGATGAAACTATTGAGTCTTTCATTAATCATACATCAGCATCATGTGTGGCGAAGGATTGCAATTTGCATCACTCACTATTAAGCGCACAACCCATACTGTTCACGTGCATCTCTAAAGTAAGAAATGGGTACTGTTTCAATGTAAAAGCTGTTTTATTATGTATTTAAAGTACATCCGAGTATTAAAAAATCTACCTAGAGAAGGGGTAGTTTGTCTTAGGTACACAAAGATAGTATTGTGAAATCAATAGAGACCCATGTAAAATTTAAATGGCTATAAAGTAATTTAGAACTGACCGATTTGAATTAATTTTGGACTAAAGGGTATTTATGATAAGGATAATTTTAATTGCATATGATGTAGTCTTAACTGCGTATTTAACTTCTATTTTGGCATATTTGAGCTTGCATCAGTTTCAATATTTCTAATACAAAATTATCTTTACGAACCATATCAACATGCTGTTTTGTGAGTCAACTAAAGGATTCGTCCAAGTTTAGTTGCTCGTATGGGAAACGGCCCATCGACATTTTTAGACAGAGAGCCTCCCAGTTTGAACTTTACATCAATTAGTGGTAGTGGGTGGTAAAATAAACCAATACATTCCATCACGTAACAAGTTTCTTCTTTATACCAATTCTTCCATTGTCACTTTCTTTCTTTACACATATTGACATATACCCATTGTTTACTTCGTTGTTTTGGGGTGTTTTATGTAATTCCAGTCGCTCTGTTACACTTTTTGCAGACCAAATGTTTTAAAGGGAAACTTTGTGGTTATTGTATTTAAAAGGTGGAGATTTTAATTTAACTATCGTCAATTTCCCATATACTCCAATATACGTCAGTCGCCAGTTACGCTAGATCATTCCAATTTGTAGGACGTTGTAGTTAGGAGTTTATTACTGACAGCCAGATGACTGAAACAGGATACATACTTAACATCCAAACTCAAAGCTGCATTTAAAGTATTCTATGGTCATCAAGGACAATTATTAAATCGCAGATGTTTCTATTTTTATGTGTTATTATAATAGTGGCGAGTGTCAAGCACGAGCCAGAGTAAGTTTTCAAAAAACGTAATACTACTTTGTCTTGGGAACGTATTTTGGTATATTCCGACGATAAAGTCCACTTTGTATTTATGGACTTGACTTTGAATACCTTGGGGTTGATGATACTATATTTATACTATCAATGGGAACGAGTTAACTCCACCAACTTCACAAATGGAAAGAAGCTACTTTTTTAGTCTAATAAAACAGGGGTGGGGGGTGAATTTAATGTGCGATTATATTTGTTTATTAACGAATATATTTTATCTAATTTTCAGAATTATTTCCAAATGAAGGACCTGTTTGTCCGGAAAGACCAGGAGAAGATGATTTACCTGGTAAGTGTGGTTAATTCTATTCCAAACAAAAACCGTAAGTACTGAAATAATAATATATGTGGTGCAGCAACTGGTATAAATTATGCATATCTTATTCAGACATAATGCATATAAAGCAAGCAAATTAGGATAAATATGTTGCAGCTAATTAATCGCTATGATATCAGTATTTAAATAAAGTCGATTTTATGACAGATTTATTTTTTGCAGTCATGTATGGCTGGATGGCTGAATGGTTAGCGTGCGCGCGCTGTATCATAAAGTCTGTCATTGAGTCGACTTGCGTGGTTTCGAATCCGCGGTTGTACGTGGCAAGGAGTAGGGTCGCCTGTCCAACCTCGTGGGTTTTCTCCGGGTCCTCCGGTTTCCTCCCACTGCTAAAGACCCTACGCGCAAGCGAATTATGTAAATAAAATTAAACCATATGTTAGTCCCGAAATGACCTAGTTTGTGTCGAGTGGACGTTAAACCCCATTTCTCTCTCTCTCTCTCGTATACAAAAAGTGATATCAAATCTGACCTTCGCATTTTTGACATTGTACATCTGGAAATATATCTATTTTGATTGGCAAGAAACAATACTATTTTCATTGTATCGTTATATCATTTATGATGGACAACATAGATATTATACTACTATGTTTACAATGATCAATTTCTCGCCCTAGTTTCCTTACAGTCATTTCACGGATGTATCAATCACAACATTACACGGGATGTTGGGCATGTGTGGTATACCCTACTTTATGCGCATGTGTAATTTGTATCGCTATACCCTTTTACTTCCTGTTTTAGGAAACACAGAACTTACAACACTTGTTGACAAGTTGTGGTACACTGAAAATTGCCGAGTAGTTAGTTTCTAACTATTGTCTGAGATCGTCAAAAAAACAAGTAGAAAAAATGCTAAACTAGTCCAAAACTGCCACCAATTGCATTAATATTTTCCAGCTGCTGTTTTCACATACTTCAAATAGTCTAGGTAGACGACGTGGTATAATTTGGTATATGCAATATGTATATAATAAAACGATACCAGATTGTCAAGTGCAAACTCTTAAAGACTATAGTAATTATTATGCGCTTGTTCCTAAAGCCCCAAGCAACATGTGAAGACTGTTCAAGAACTTGTTGTCTAATCGCATGTAGAGCCTTCTTAGATGTTCTTTTGTTTTCTTTTTTAACAAATTCTTTCGAGTAAGACTATTTTGGTTTTCGCTGAAGGCGGTAAATTGTGTATATTTGTCGAACAATTGAAAGCCATATTGCTAGCCTTGCATGTTAAGGAAGGCAATAAGTTAAATGCACGGGACAGACTTAAATGTAAATTTGTTTTTAGTTTTTATACATATTACATATTTTTTATTAACCACACATTTAAGTCCTCTATTATACGGACACAATAAACAAACAGCAAATTAAACCATAACCCGTTAGGTCACTGAGCTCATGGACCTTTTAAAATTTTGTGTCGCGTTTCGCGCCGCATCTGGCACGCATTGTTCCTGAAAACATACTGAACGTGTTAAACTAGAAGAAACAAATTCTTCGCTTAGATTATTAATGCCCTTATTATTCGCGAATTTATTGTCTAATTTTGTAGGTAAAACAACATTTTGCAAACACCAATGGGAACACGCCCTTTATCTGTACCATTTAATTCTTCGTCCGAAGAGTCTAATTCTGACACTCGAAGCAAACATTGGCAAGGCGTTGACGAACGATGTTTATATTTTAAAATGTCGCCTTTTATCGTTACAAATTGTGCATACTAACATAATTCAGAGATGTACTAGCATTCATAGGTGAATTTTTCTGCTATTTTTATCCGGGTACTCTTCTTGTTGCTATTTATTCAGACATTGATATCAAACCTGGCATGCATTTTACACATTGTTAAGGGAAAGAGTTTTTAGATAACAGGCGATAAAAATGGCGATTAGACACTATTCTCTCTAATGAGATCTGTATTCTTTACATGAGGATGGAATGTATTTATATAATAAGGTTTGAATTAACTAGGTTTGTCAATGCTCTTAGGATTTTATTATTCAAATATTTAAATATAACATAAAGAGCGAACATACATAATAGGATTTTTTAATTCGTTTGTACAGTTCGCGTCATATTGTTAGATTTTGTATTGGTAGGTGGAAGATCAATCTATTAGCAAATAATAATCGCAAGAGTTTATGAAAGTTGACATTGGGCTTTTTAGATGTAGTAAACGGGGTGGGTGGCCGAATGTTCTAAGGCGTTTGACTGGGCGTCCCGTCACAGGTATGTAATAATAAGCAATCCATGAGTTCGATTCAGCGATGTAAGTTAAAGGAGCTAAATCGCTAATATTTAGGACCTAGAAATTGACCCAAATGGGTCGAAACGCATATAATAATGTAATCTGATTAAACTGATTTACATTCAATTGTTTCCTTTTTGACTCTTAATTTCAAATCAGTTATGTCCAGCGAAATACAGCATATGTCTCAACCCTATAGCAATTTCTAGCGTCTGGTTATTCCAGTCTATTAAGCAGGCTCTCCAGTTGAATATGTCTAGCCTCGTTCTTTCTGGTCACTTGGTGCAAATGACGCTAAAACGCACAATGGTACACGATTCGTGTACCAATGGTAAAATGTTTATTTTGTCTTAAATATTGGATATCAGAAGCCTGCCTTTCCTGGTAAGATCACAACATCAATCTTGATTTGAATTGACAAATAATTCGTATTTTCAACGTGTAAGACTTTGGATGATATTGAGTTAGAGACTTAGCTACTTTAAGGATCGTTTTGTAAGCGTCGTGGTGTTTCTCCCAATTCTACAGTTTCTGACATTCTGATTAAAATTGGGCCTTTTGTTCGTTTCGGTTTTATTATAGTTCTGGAATTACATTGCATAGAAATCTAAGAATCCCTTACCGGTCTTACGAGGACAATCATGACCTATGACTTGCACTTTTGAAGTCTGCGGTTCATGCTTTAACAACTGATCAGTTACCAAGTAACAAATTAAAACAAGATTAACCAAAACCATTGAAATGATATTCATATGTATTCTAATATGGGTGACAACCGCAACTATCCAAGTAGGAAAAGTATTTGTTTGGCCAGTAAATTACAGACGTAGAAGTTTGACACAAACTCTATACATTGATACAGCAGTGTTTGTTGTAGTCTATGAATCAAAACAGTGTGAAAATATATGCAACTTCAGTGACTTTGTTAAGATCAAATTGAACAGCAGCTTCTCCTTCAACAAATTGTAATTTAAAGCTTATTGACAACAATGAAATAAAACGAAACGGAAGTAAGTTCTAATTTTGATTAGACCAGATTTATCCCTATCGCTAAATGGAAAGACAACTCTCCCACAATATGGATGCATGTAGCAAGGAATCAACATACGAAAAAAACACAAATGTTTATGTAAATCGTTTAGCGAGATCATATAGATACTTGATCTGAACTGTCTACGTTCTTGGAATGATTCAACACTTTCATCAATGAACCTTAGTTGCTATCACTAACGATGTAACCTTTTGAGAACAGATTATGCATCTGAGCAGCATCTAAGAAAAAAAACGCATGTACATTCCTATCAATTCGTCCGTTAACGATATGTCCCAAGTGATATAAGTAAAAGAAAGTACCCGTATTCTGACGTTTTACCTATATGTACTTCAGTTAATTCAGGTTTTTCGGTTATTAGAAACCTTCTAAGAAGATTACATGTAATTCTCTGGTTACATTCGATAACCCACGGATTCTCTGCAACAACTGCTTCATAAAATACGTACAGCATGGGTTATCTTTTTATTTCGATTCTTGCTTTTTTCTGCTTATAACGCTACGCCTCGCCCTTCTTGTAACAAAATATCGAAATTTTAAGAAATCCAATTATAATCGGAGGTGCACAGTTAACATATGCCTTAAGAGTACGTCGCGGGTCAAAACGATCTGTATTGTACAGCCGTTCACCGATATCCTGCAAAATTGCACATCGTGTTTATATGTAAAATGTGGTCATATAGACTTTACATAAATAAATATATGATAGATACTACAGAACTTACATAACACCTGAAGAATATGCAACTTACAACAACAAACAATATATTCTTGTAAAGTTGCCATTCTGTATAAGATTTCTAAGATATCTAATATTGGCTGGAATGTCTTTGGGAGATCTGAGAGTCACGTACTATGCATAACTTTGTCAAAATTTATATCTCTATCTTGTTTGACAGCTATCTCGTTTATTGCTTTTTTTATGCCGAGAATTGTCCGGACAGTGTCGTTTTCTCCTGCTCATCATCGATTTCCAAATGCCAAGAGTTATTTTACGCGCCCGCAAAGTGTACACGGGTGAACATTTGTTTTTGTCCCATCCGAACGTCTAGGCAACCCTTTACTTTTGGAAACTGGACTAAGACAATCCCGAGAATCTTATCGACCTACGTCGAGATTCTTCTAGACCTACGTCGGGATTCGATCCCGGGATATTCTTATCGACAGTACATTGCTCGACTAACGCGAACCTTACCATCAGACGTTCGGAAAAGACCACATCCGGAAAAGACCAACTATTTCTCGTTTAGTTATGCTAATTATCGTTGACGTACATCAATATAAAATGCATGGTATGGAATTATATAATAATATAGATTTGTTTACTTTTAAAAGAAATATGTAGAATCGCCGTTGTTCGCACGTGCATGATATTATGATATAAAATCAGATGATTCATAATTTTAATATATTGTTTTAGACTGCTTGTGAATTCTAATAAATATATTACATAAGGGGTCGTTTCTAAACACTTCTCTCGGGATGCTAATTGTCAACAATCGATATTAATGTATCTGTTTCAGGTTTTGATTTTATATCTAAATATCAACTAGATAATGTATTACGACAACCTGGTGTTAAAAAAGTTAGAGGTTCCAATGAATTTCAAGTAGCATATAAAATAAGTAGAAGAGCAAAATTAAGAATAAAAACAGAGTAAGTATTATTTTTTTTACCGCTTGAAGGTTTGTAGATTAGAAAGCTGAGTTTAAGACAAATGGGGTTTAACGTCGACTCGACACAAACTAGGTCAGTTCGAAACTATAGTTCAATTTTATTTCAATAATTCGCCTGTGCGAAAGGGTCTTTAGCAATGGGAAAAAAACGGAGGACCCGGAGAAACTCACGACGTTGGATAGGTGACCATACTCCTCCTTGTCATGAACTTGCGGGGACTGGAAACCACGCCACTTGTTTTAGAAGATAAAAGTGTTCTTTAGCTGGAAGTACTTTAATTCTTGGCTAATAAAGCGAGATTTTGGCTTCTAAAATCCAGGTAAAGACCATCGCTCCAGTTGATTATAGGTATTGAAGGATGCAATGCACGAGGCAGGACGTACCTACTACTTCTAGAATACCTAATACCACTTTTTATTTGAGGAGCTGAAATAGCTAACAAATCTTTGGTATATTTTCGTGTTTGTTTGAATGTCATCCATCAAACCCAGAGCTCGTATAAAGTGAATCTGTTCTCTCTAAATTTATCTTCATATTTTTCTTTATTTCAGTCAACTTTTTCCTAACGGTCTTCCAGATCGTTTTTCATTTGTCAGTACTTTTCGTATGCAAGGAAGAACTAGGAGAGAACGATGGAACTTAGTACAAATTCTAGATACGAGGGGACAACCACAATTTGGTATCCGTCTCGACGGTAAAAAAAAATCTATAGAATTCTATTATATAAATTATGAAGGAAGAATAACAACTTTAGCATTTCAGCAAAATCTAAAAAGTGTAAGTATCTTTTACCACTAGCCTTATAGCATATCTGCACAATCTATAACGTTTAAGTATATCATACCATCAGACTTATAGCATATCAGCAATATCTATAAAGTGTAAGTATATCTTACCATCAGCCTTATAGCATATCAGCAAAATATACAAAGTGTAAGTATATCATACCACCAGCCTTATAGCATATCAGCAAAATGTAAAAAGTGTAAGTATATCATACCACCAGCCTTATAGCATATCGACAAAATACATAAAGTGCAAGTGTCTCTACCATCAGTCTTATAGCATATCAGCAAAATCTATAGAGTGTAAGTATTTATTACCATTAGCCTTAGAAAACACGGGTGGTTATTACCAATTTTTAAAAAAAACCTAAATGTTCATAATATAAGAATGTCATATCTGTTTCGCTTTCCTCTGCGGAATAAGACCTTCTGCAATCGAAAAATGTATGCTGTTCATTAGTAACTTATATTTAACTCTGTTTATGGGTTTTTTTTTCAGTTATTTAATAAAGATTGGCATAAAATACATTTTAGTGTAGGAAGAGAATATGTAGAACTTTATGTAGATTGTCAACCTATAGCCTCTAAACCTAAAATACCATGGCGTCCTATAGATGTTAATGGTGAAATGGTGCTAGGTACCAGAGAATCAGATGGTAGAACAGTTCCTGTAAGTATACCAATATTTTGTTTTCTTGGGCAACGCGTGTACATGTGGGGGGGGGTATTCGAAAAAGCACATTGCTATTTTGTTCAAGAATAATGGAAACTGTCTTTTGTACAGTGTGGAAACGTGTATTTTTGAAGAGAATACGTAGTTCATGTTTCAGGAAAACGAAATACCGCTTATGACAATGAATACCCGTATTCAATAAAACCGACAGTATTAAGATCAAAACCTTTTATTTATTATTCTATTGTTTTTATTTCAGTTTGATCTTCAATGGATGGTGTTACATTGTGATCCTTCCAAACCAGAACGTGAAACTTGTGATGAGTTACCTCCCCCTTCAGTGAGTAAAACCAAAGCGTAAAATAAAAATTGAATACGGTGAACGGGAACATACACTCTGTTGATGTTTTTAAAAGAAATATGAAATTCTTGAACTAACAAGCGTAAATCTTTACTGTTCCTTTCCTTCATCTTTAAATATTAACAAGCCGATGAAGATATCGTATATGAGAGATATTAGTACACAGTGCCTTCTAAACAAACTAGACTAGAAATCTTAGTGCAATAGTGCAACGCATTAATGTTCAATATAAAAAATAGGCTAATGGAATTTTTACTCTCTTAATAAGAATAAGATTTTAACTTAGAAAAAATAGTAGTCGATGAGGAAGAATGAATTCTTCCCACACACGTCTGTGATAACGTTTGCAATGTGATATTACCTAAAACAGTGTCGTAGAAGCACCTAATATTATGTTTGATTATTTCAGCCCGTAATCAAGGTATGAGTAGTGCACATTATAATCCTAGAAATAGTTTACTGTAGTTATTATATTAGTCATACATAATACTTATTAAAATATCTACATCGTTTCGAGGGGGGGGGGGGGTATTCTTACCTGGAAAAATTCTGTAGATCAATGGCATTGTTCATTGGTGTCAAAATAGAATGTGCTTATGCAAAACCTACACTGAACCACTTTAAATTCATGATGACAAAACTTGCAATAAATAACTCTTTTTGTGGATAAAAAACATCAAATGGGTGTAATATATTCCAGTTAAGATGTTAATGTTTTTCATATCTTGATGATTTCCTCGGAGTAAGAAAATATAAAGATGTGGCCAATGAGAAAATTCTAGATATTGTAGATAATTTTAGTAACGATATGTGTTTGATCATTTCAGACCCAAATTAAGCCAAAAAACGATAGTCGTAAGGTATGATTTGAGCACCAAGTAGCCACATTAATAACCCATATTAGATAATACACTCTCACAAATTCATCATTAGCACTATTTTCCACATTAACCCTATTTTTGTAGATTTCTTAGTCCTTTTAACCCTGTCTAAATACTTGGTTTATGACTTGTCTGTTTCTCCATTCATATTGATTTCTCTATACCTACCTTTTTTGTTAACCATAACTTCTTCTTACTCTAGTGCACTACCCTAATACTGTCTTGTTCATTTAGGGGGCAGGTCTCTGATTTTTAAGTCTTTGGTACTAAACAGAAATCAGATTATCTGCTTCATAGTTTTTTCGATTAAACTTGCCATCAATTCCCTTGCAAATATTTACAAGTAGTTAAAGTCGAAATGGTTTCCCAATACATCATAAATTATGCCCACTCCTCAGAAACCTCATGGATTAAGATATTTGCAAGGGAGAAAAAAAAATATTAAAAAAATTGTAAAATGAATGTTTAAAATATATGACCCTGTAGTTATATTAACTCCGTAGAAAACCAATGATTAAATCAACACTGTTCTGTAGAATTTATACCACCACCCGTAGTACAAACCTCCAACCTCATCATACAACTTTCATTCTGTGCACATAAACTCTTTAAAAACATCATAATAGTCAGATTGCTGTAACCACCCAAGAAAGTAATCTTTTATTAATACATTAGTATTTCTATTGACAAAATTAACAGTTTTAAGTAGAATTTAATATAAATATACAAATAGTTATCCTGCATTATTTAGTTCAATAACATACCAATAAGAATAGAAATGTTCCTATTTTTAAAATAACAGAAATTAGTTTTCCTTAAGTACACTTAGAATTTTTTTCCAATCATTTATTAATGAATCCACTTTGTATAATATCTATATTGAAATGTACTATGTATCTGCTGCGATATGCTTGCTTGCTCGCTTTAGCTGCCTATATTATTTTTGCTTTTAATAACACTGCAAGCGTTCATTACACAGCTTCGCCATTTCTCTAATATTTTTGGTTACAGGTTGCATGAGATCTTCCTCCTATAGATTATCTCCTGGAAGCTGTTCATCCAAGTTAACTCGGGCTATGGTTAAAATATTTGCATGTCTGATCAATCATAGCATAAATATATACTTACTTTTGCCAGCTTAAGCAGCGAGAAAAGCCTAGAAAACGCAAGCGGCCTAGAAAGCAGCGGCTGAGCCCAGATAAACCAGCAGATGAGGTCACAGAAAAAGTTGAATCCGGAAATGATTTGCTGTCGGCGGTATATTATATTTTATTGCATGTTGTTTCTCCTTCATTGTCGCTTTCTGGTGTGCAGATTGAGTCGGTTAAAGGATCTAAACCTCTTTGATTTAGGCCAAACTAAAATACTGACTTAGGTGAATTTGGTGTGTTATTTCGATTAGAGACGAGGCAAGCTCTGTTTGATGAAAAAGAAAATCTCAAATTTTACTCAATGTTTGGTTTACTTCGTCACAATTGGTTGCATATCAACTCTGCCTATATTTATAGACGTAAAACGTTTAACGGGGACAGATCTCCCCACCCCCTCCACACAAACCAAATTAAATGAAGTCCAATAAAAGACACATTTTTGTCTATAACCCAAATCAAAGAGGTGTAGTCATTTGAAAGAAAGGGATGTTTCATAAATTTGGGTATGGAGAGACGAACGTCTTAAAGCGACAACGTAGGCTTTTGATCAGTTTAAATTGAATTATTATTATAGATATGGTGGCGGTTGCCTATATATTAGTTAGCATGCTTGTATTATGTTAAAATCTTCACAAAGTAACGTATATTTTTAAAGTTTAAAAAATACGTTACCTGAAATATTAATTATATAAAATCCCATGTAATCACCCGAGCAAAGCTTGCCAAATAGCGCCTCACTGACCTCCATAGATATATTATAGTAGTTAATCTATATTTATCGACATGACCACAAGTCTTGACAATTCTTCCTGATAATAGGTAGAACCACCAGACTGTGACGTCACCTGTCCAAGAGGTCCGCCTGGCAGAAATGGAACGAGAGTAAGTATATTTTATGGCGTCTTTCAAAAAAGTTAAAAAATAATACAAATATTAATAAACAATAGGGCAGATATCAATGAGGTGTTAATAAATGACTTGACTGGATTCTTTTAATTAGGGACCACAAGGGCCTATAGGGAGACCAGGAGAACCAGGAGCACCAGGAGCTTTAGGACCAAGGGGCGAAAGGGGATCACAGGGACCACGTGGAAGAGATGGAAATGACGTAAGTGGCTGAAAAGTATAATTATACATGTACACATAATAGAGTATTCTATATTTTATCATGGCAAAATTGCAAAAATAAAACGGTGCCAATTTTTTATGGACAATTATTATACAATGGTTTTTTATATTAATATATTTATTATAAAGTAGTGTAATCAACATACTAGTATTGTTATGGACAAAATTAAAGATGCATTATGTAAGATTTAGATAAAGAGCTAGTCATTCTTGCTATAATAGTTTGAAAATAGATAACGTAAAAAGAATAATTTAAATATTTCATTCAAATTACTCTATTGCGAGCGAAGATATTAGCCTTTGAAGGTTTGACAAGACGTGTACAATAATTTCAACCACCGTACTGGTTATTCGAAGCTATGTCTCGCTCCTCCATTTTTAGCTTAAATCAAAATATGGCTGAACTGTTCTAATCTATTTAATATCGGAGAAATCCGATGCCATCGAGAGTTGAGTATGGCCTGGATAAGTTAATTAATGTCTTAATTAATAATTTAGATAAAATTTCAGGCCTAAAGAAAAACCTTCAATAGGCTGATTTAGCTCTTGCATAATGTATGTTTAACAGTTTTAATTAGAATTTAAAACAAAAATATACAAATAGTTATCCTTCATTATTTAGTTCATATAATATACATATATTTTTGCTATACCTATGCGTTATTGGTGTTAGGGGCGAGCAGGCACACCAGGAGAACCCGGATCACAGGGAAGAGCAGGAAGAAAGGTATGTTGCATAATTAAGTTTACAAAAAGGTGTCAAACAATGATTGGCGCTTGACTAGGTCCAAATCTCTGTGTGGTACCACATATTTGTCAAATCCAATTATCAGTTGACAGTAATGGCGCGTGTGGGGCACATATGAAAAGTGTACTTCTTCGAATGGGACGAAAATCCTATCGGCGAAAAAACATTAACCTGCACTTTAAATAAAACTGGCTGAGTCCGCTGCCTCATGTGCATCGCATAAGAAACCATAAAAATGAAGTTGACAGCAAAAAGGGAAAACAAGTTCATTTACTCCTTGTCGGCACAAGCGCTAAAGTTTACATGTAGTTTGTGAACAGTACAGACTTACAACTGACAAATATATTAAATACATTAGAATTTACCAAATAAATTGCTGGCCAACCAAATCTAAAAAACGTCCACACGCCGGAGGTTGATTCAGTCTACTCATTGCTGAATGATTCGGACAATTTCACTTTTTTCCCAGTATTAAGGAATTTTAGCGAGAGTCCACATACTCTTTTTAGGTTATTCCTTTTGAATGATTCGGACAATTTCCTTTTCTTCACAGTATTAAGGAATTTTAGATTATTCCTGTAATAATAAAAAATTATATAATTGTGCCTTTTATCGCTTTAAAGGGTGAACAAGGTGAAACTGGAAGAACTGGTGGATTAGGACCACAGGGACCAAAGGTCAGTTATTTTTAGTATGTGAAAAAGTATGGCATTACATACCTATTGTTTATGAATATTTGGTAAAACAATAAATAAAACGGATCAAGAACATAAGTCATGGTAGATACACGTATTTAGTACCGCCTGTTTAGTTAAGTAATTGGATATTATATTTGATTGTATTATACAGGGTGATAGAGGTCAAGCAGGACTTCCGGGAAGACCAGGAGAACCAGGCACTAGGGTAGGAATAAATATTGATTACCATAACCTAATCAAATAGAGGACAATGGCAAAAGAAATGTGCATACATCATAGGATAAATTAAAAGAGCTTGCGCGTTCCATGGACGGAAAAGTAATATCTAGATATGGACAATAATGGCAGGGGTCGTCCTTTACATATGATGTATCAACGGCTAATATCAACTAATTTTTTTCTAAAACGAAAGTTACCATGAAACACGTTCACTTTTCTATTAATAACATTTCTCTTTTTTGTATAGACAGCAGCATGTCTAAATATATATGTTTTATGTCTTGATTAGGGATAAATTGACCGTGCTTTTGCTGAGAGTCTTTGACTCTCTGACCCCGAGACTATTAATGACAGAATGTTGCACCTTTTAGTCTTACACAGATTCACATTAAAAGATCTGAAAAATATCCGATTCTTAACCGTTATTAAAAGTCCGATCACCAGACATCCACTAGTGCAAGGAATTTATTCTTTTTCCCATTGAGAACTACGAGTTGGGATGTGACGCGAGTATTCCTATTTATAAAAGCTTTTGGTAATTCTTTCGCGCCGATTGAGTGACGAACGCAGATGAGGATTGCCTGGCACGATTGTTAAAGGGCTTGACACAGGACAGTGTCTAGTCGTTCGTACGGGACGAGAAATCGAGGTCCTATAAAAGAGCCGAAATAAGAGTAGGCTGTAACGCCGCTGTCCGGGTAAAATTTCCCTCATATCACACTGTATGGCATGCACATCTTCATTAGTTAAATTGGTGCAGAAGAGTGGGATGTTAAACCCCATTTCATGTCATTTCTCTTTTTGTCTGACAGATGAAAAAGAGAAACGGATCTTTTTTCCGTATAACTTTTTGTCATAGGTTCAACGTCCTACTGAATTGCAACGACAGTACTAATGAAGACATGCGTGTACTAAAATTTGTGCTATGAGGGATTTTTTTCCGAACAGCGGTGCTACACTGTAAAACTTTTTCCGTAAAATTTACGGACAAATGGCTGGCAGCTAGGTTGCCAACCAATGTACGTAAAAATTACGACACACCGTAAATATATTTTTACGAACATGTCGTAAAAATTACGTCCAAAGATTGGCAACCTAGCTGCCAGCCATTTGTTCGTAAATTTTACGGAAAATGTTTTACAGCTGTAAAAAACTTATGGTATGATAAGCATCAAAAAGACATTTACTTAAGATTTAAAACAGAATTTAATTATTCAAAACAATATAAGATACAATTAATTCCTCAAAAATGCTTTTACATGATAGTTTAAGATATAATAAAAGACCTGAAAATACTGGAAATTGGAGATTACTGTCAGTAAGTAAAGCTAACAACTGCCTTAAAAAAAAACAAACCTGTCAACCACAAATTCATATTTTTAACACATTTGATCAAGAGCAGATTTGATATTACAATATGGAGAATGTTTAGAGATCTAACATATTCTTTGGCTGTCAAGCAGTTTGGTGGTATACTTCAACAAAAACAAAGCTCCTTTCATAATTCTTCATTAATAATAATGAACATTTGTACATGGAATAGTGACGACTTTAAAAAAAAAAAGAGAATTTGTTGCCCTATTAACAAGGGAAATAACTCTCCAAAATATTTATCAAGTTCTCACAAGACAAGCAAACAAAAATTCCCAGCAATTAAAAAATGTATGTGAAAATTTACATGGATGTATCAAATAATGGGTAGCAACAAAATATAAATTTAACAATAATGAAATTATCCATTCAAATTCTTGTACATGTAACATTTACATTATAATATTCAAATGAATTTTTTTTATAGTAGAACAACAACATTCTGAATCTATTCTACAAATATATAATCAGTGTGTTACAATAGAATTATCCTCAAATCTTTTTCTAAAATCTTAACCAAGGTGTTGTAATATTTACCTCAAATCTATTATTTAAAACATCAACAACATGAAAGTAAATTATAACAGTAAAACATGATCTAATGAAATAATGAAATCATTCAAATTTTTGGAATTAATGAATTTGCATTCTAAATGTTTAAATGAACAATTTAAAATCTAACAATTATTGAACCCCAAAAGTATCATGACTTTAAAACAAGAACAGCATCAATGCAGAATTCCTATTATTCCACCTTAAATGTACAGCTTGTTTCAATGATTAGCTTAATCTCTGTTTGAAAATGTATATCATTAAATTTTCCACAATAACTCTGCCTAAGCATGTACATTCCTTAGTGAGAATGGCATAAATTGATTCAGTTCGTAGATAAAAATTTAGATGGAACTCGACTACTGACAAAGTTAATGAACCAGTCCCAAAATGAAATGTGTAGATGAGAGTTACACAATTTTAATGTTTATGCAACACGGCCGCATATTTAGAGACAAAATGAACTGAGGATAATTTTACAAATGTACCAAATTGTTGATGGACAAATTAAATGACCAAAAGATTTTTCCATTAAAGTAAACGGACATCTTATCAAAAGTACAATAAGAAGATCAAGTTTAATTAAGAAGATTCATTAAAAAGATTTCTTGCAGTGCGTTTAAAGTCTCATTTACAAAGTATCACTCATAAAAGGGTTGTGGCTCGGTCCCTTATCACCTATTTTATACACACTATGTGCTGGTGTATAAAAACTAACCATAAACTCAATAGGCCTATCCCTAAAGTTTGCATGCATGAACATTATTGCATCATAGGTTGCAACGATACATATCACAGTATTTCTTCTTGGACGTGTTTCCAGCTCCCTAGCCACTGCTTTTCCATCTGACGTTTTTGATTCAAAATGTTCCTATATCCGTGATTTGTGGTTCGCCGGAGGGGAATGTACTTTCAGCGGGACACATGTTTCATTGCCGAAAGCCATCTTTTCTCCTTCTTGTCACATGAACTACAGGGGAGTATTCTGCATCGGATGAAAATGGACAGTTAAAATATCTGTACCATGTTAACCAAACCGTGGTCCAGAATTTAAAGCACCTTGAACCAAAATGTGGCATCTATACCGTCGTATACCTTCTCACAGTACCGGTATATTGTTGCTATTGTTGTAACTGTACTTCGTCCATTTAAAGTTTGACAGTTTAGTGATTAGTTATACCACTTTTTGGCACACTCGAGTCTTCCTCTTTTTCATGATTTCTGTGCGTTATCTGGGTTAATTTCAAAAATGCACCTGCAAAACAAATATTCTCAATCAGGTTGTTTCTTATGACATCCATTTCAAAAGAACACATTTTAATTAAGGAAAAGGGAGCTAAATGTGCGAGAAAATGAAGTTTCATGTCCACAAACAGGAGACTAAAGAGAGAGAGAGAGAAATGGGGTTTAACGTCCACTCGACACAAACTAGGTCATTTCAGGACTAACATATGGTTTTAATTTTATTTCAATAATTCGCTTGCGCGTAGGGGTCTTTAGCAGTGGGAGGAAACCGGAGGACCCGGAGAAAAACCCACGAGGTTGGACAGGCGACCCTACTCCTTGCCACGTACAACCGGGGATTCGAAACCACGCCAGTTGACTCAATGACAGACTTTATGGTACAGCGCGCACGTGCTAACCATTCAGCCATCCAACCCCCCCAGCAGACTAAACATATCACAAATACTATCAGTGTATACTGGAATAACCAGACTGCCATTCAATTTGGACATATTTCGCCGAGCATAACTGATTACAAATTACACTAAAAACAGAAACGACTGAATGTAAATCAGTTTATAGACATTCATAATAGATTATTATCGTTGCGACCCATTGTGTTCATTTCTCGGGGCCAAAGAATACAGATTTAGCTCCTTTAAGTTAGGTTGAACTTTTCTGATCATGATTCATATTGGTAGTAGCTGTAACTAACGTAACACCCATTGCTTTCCGGGTTAAAACCCATGCTTTCTTCTATCGTTACCGCATCTTGGGTTTCTGATCAGATTTTTGGACTAAGCAGTGGCGACTCTGCACCTATGACAGGTAAATCTAAAAGCAGACTAAAATAGGATTCACCTGTTGCTAATAAGACCTACCCCAAGGTTCAAGCTGGGAGAGAGAAATGGGATTTAACATCCACACACAACACAAACTAGGTCATTTTTGGACTAATAAACATAGAATTTTATTTCAATAATCGCTTTAACCGTAGGTCTTTTATAAACAGTGGGAGGAAAACGAACGACCCAGAAAAATGAACACGGTTAGTCAGGCAATCTTACTCCTTTCAACGCCACTTGACTCAAAGACATAGGCTTCATTCTGACCTAACTAAGGCCCATGTTAGACCATGGATCTTATATAAGCTCCATGGTTAGACCATTCGTCCAACCACCCCTCAAATTTCAAGGTCCAAGCAGTGGGCAGGAAGTGTTGGTTTTCATTAACAATGCGCTCAACTCCCAAAATTATTATCTTCAGTAAGTTCAATCTTATAATTTTTCTTTACCGGTAGGGCCTACCTTTGAAAAAATTTTACTAACCCAGAGAAAGGCTGGGTAGCCCACTCTATAGATGACAGGAATGACACTCAAGGATGCAATAAGCTGTGCCTAAAAAAATTAGTAAAATAAAAAATTAAAGATCATTATCCAGACAATGCATTGACAATTCAATAAATTCTTAATAATGGTTTTCAGTGGTAGGCCTAGCCTACAGACCTGAGACTATGAACTTAATGAAGCCCAGAAATGTTAGCCCTTCATAGTTCATATATTTTTTTTCTATATCAATGTTATTATTATGTCATCCGAGTAGCCTCAACTAGAACTGAAGCCTCCAAAAACAATGCGAAAAAATATTAGGCCTAGCACTAACACCAGAGTGTATTTTTACTCTGTGCTAACACTAACACTGTGACAGTGTATGTGAGTATCATGTATGTCCATTTGTCTAGAAGTAGAAGAGTCTATTCCTACTATTTCATAAATCAGTTACCGTACATTTTTACGAATGCTAAGAATCAATCTATGTCAAACAAAGATGTGTCCCTACTGTATACTTACCTAAAACTGCAATGTTTGGTATTGACTGTAGTGTTCAACTATTGTGCTCGATGTTGAGGGATTCCTCTTTGCCGCTAACTAACGGTCTTCGCAGTAATGGCGCCCAGGAAGACCGATGACGTCACTTTAATTTAAACACCCGTATGTCATATTTACGGACGAAATTCTGTATTTCTTAAATATTAACAGACTCGTGTCTGTAATCAGGATAACAGACCTGCGCTGTAGGCGTTTTACAGAAACAAGTCTGTAAAAATTACAGAAAAGGCTTACAGTGTATGGTCTACTCTTACTTCGAATTCTAACTGTCAAGATATTTTTACGTTCACTCCAATGTGTACACGGACCTCGATTTTCGTCCCATCCGAACGACTAGATGTCCTTCTGTAATAAACGATACCATGTTTTTGTTTCTTTCGTTTTATATTTCAGTTAGATGTAATATGAACGTGTTTTCTGTAGTTTAATATACACGTACTTGTTTACCTAACTGTGAACTGTTTATTTTGGACCCTGGAAAATACCTGCATAAAATAATAATAATAACATAATATGCACTAAAATACCCCAAACTGTGAATAACTAACGCAAACATGTCGCCATTCTCATTTAAAAAAACTCAATTTAAACGTTATAGTATATTACCTTAATGCATTGAAAGAATGATAAATTTCTGCTGACTTCAGTAATATTTTGTACAGTGGAACGCTGTTCCTTTTTCTACAATTTACTGGAATTGACAGCGATTTTGTCTATCTAATTATAACATTACATACTTTATGTATTGTTGTTAGTTTCCTGTCATTGAAATAAACACTTAATGGAATTCTTATTACTTACATATGATATATATTCTATTGTTAACAAAAAACTCGAACTGGTCTAATATTTATGCCATATTACACATGTGCATACATGGAGAAGAAAAATTCCAGTGTGTTAGCCGAGGTACTGGTATAAACAATAAAATGTCTGATCCACTAATGGTTTAAAGATGGGAAAATTGTGTCTGCAAATGCGAATAGACAGTTAAATTTGACCCATGTGCGACAGTTAGAATCTGGATTGTATACCTAGCAATTCATATACTACTTAACGAACTTGGGAATTAACAAAGTGCTTGTGAACTAGAGCGACAAAACGAAACCGCTGCTGACACGAAACATGGGCAACAACTATTTCTGCGGTGGTACAACAAGCTCAATGCACTTGGTATTTTCCGTCATCTGTGGAATACTCCATTGCATTTTCCGGACGGTCACTCCATTGAATTTTACGGAGGGATACTCCATTAATATTCCCGGAGGGATACGGCATTGGGGGTTCTGGAATTGAATTCTCTCAACAGCAAGAAAGCTGACATTTAAAATAAACTCCAGAATTTAGGGGCACAGGACATGTACCGACTGAACTCGATAATATCTCCACCAATAATCAAACATGTTCCCCGTTCTTGACTACACCAATATCCTACCCACACTACTTTAGTTATCGCGACTGACAGTAGAACTGTGCCAGAAAAGAATGTCATGTCACCCGATTGTAGTTCTGTAAATTTGGAAGTCCGTGTTGCACAATCGAGTACCCTACTTACTCCCAACTCCACCTTCCCCTCTCAGTTGGTTACGACAGAAATGCTTAGTGGGCAGATTGATCCCAGCGTAGACGGACGTATCTGTCACCCAAATTTTAGAGGCAGAGAGGACTTTTGCATTTATGTAGTCTCTGACATCAGGTCTACTAATTTAACAAACGTTGCATTTGATTGGCATTCAATCTTTTGACATCAATAATATGTAAGCCATAGAATTTACATGATACAAGTTATTACTACTGTTATTATCTTTTCAGGGTCGCGATGGTATAAATGGGCGACCTGGTGAACCTGGTAAACCAGGAGATATAGGTGAAGCGGTAGGTGATTCGGACGATCTGACATGACACAATGTCAATAATTATTTATCATTAACTTGAAAACGTGACCTGTATGTGTTATGAAACGTCGATATTAAATAATAGAGTAGTAGTTATATCCATAATAATACCTTGTGTTGTGTTTTGTTATGAACCCTAACATTGCTCGGTTCGTTAAACCATGAACATGCCAAGAAGGGAACAGTGTAGACTGTAGAGCAACTTCTTTATCTATGAAAAGTAGTCCCTAACAAATTTTTCGTGGAGTGGACAGGAAACATGAATTCAGAATTTTAAGGTTCTGTTCACAGTCTTTATTTTATTGGGTTTGGTGAAGATTTACAACCCTTTAGTTCCATATTCATTTTTAATTTCTAAATCTAATTTAGGAATACGGGTTAAATTTGGTTAAAAACGAATTTTTTCATTAATACTAAATCAAAAAGAAGTGATGTCTAATATTAATTGAATTCTATATTCTGTTTTGTTTTGATAGATTATTGGTCCTGTAGGACCAAAAGGTGATAGAGGAGAACCAGGACGGGATGGTGATGAGGTGTGTCCTTTAAAATAAATCTTAACGATTGCTTTACCTGAAATTCATTAAAGTATCTGTTCTTCCTGCTCTCGACTATTACAATTTGTCAAATTTGTTACAATGTAAATAAAATTAGAGTTGTGTCCCCTTCCACGAGTTCAACAGTGCCGTAGGATGACCCGTGCACTTTACAGAAAGTTGGTCTCGACACGGTTAATGTGCACGCTTCAGTTGCGTGTCTCGAACTGATTTCTGACTACCCCGCACTCGCTTTGAGTCGATAAATAGCCATGGCACGTGCAATTCTCTACAAATATATCAACTATTACAGCCGTAAAAAATCTATTGTTGACGATTTTGAATAGCAGTAAAATTTAGCTTCTTGGTTATTACAGCAGCTTTAGTAATTACGTTTGTTTTATTTTTTAAATTGCTTTATCATTAACTGTACCGTTAAGAGCGGGATCTTTTGGTTAAGTACAAATACTATCTCTGAATCACTTTCTTTAGCAGGAACATGATACTAGCAGTAGTTTCATTTTACTTTGACAAGTTTCTTAAAACAATTGTTGAGTTGTCTAAAGTGCTTATTTCTAAATTCAATTTCTTGTTCTAGCTTTCTGTTATGTTTCGTAAAAAAGTAGTCTTGATTATCCCGACCTGTCAATCAGACGTAGAATGGTCGATAGACTGGTTAAGCGAGACTAATTTCAAAACAAGGGCACGTAACCTATCTTTTACACAAAAGTGTCTGGATGTTATGGACGCAACTTGGAACCAGTTTTCAGTCTATTATTTATAGATGATTAATGGTCATAGCTTATTAAGTACAGCATGATCGTTTATTTAGTGACTATAATTGTGTGAAACTGATTTGAGGCTTGGCATATATATAAATATTGTGGCGTAATTGTCGAGATATTTGGAGATATTTATTTATGGTGGGTCACCCTACACAGTGGTTCAAGGAAGGGAATGAATGAATGAAATAGGGTTTTATGGCACGTCAGCTCCAACCGGAATATATTGCGCCAAACATATGGTGAATTTCAAGGAGGTGAAGCGCACGAGAGGTTTCGTTTTATGGGAATTCAAGGTATCATGGATTCGATCGCACGTATCCGTTCTTTGCTTAATAATAGTATTGACTTCACTGATGATTACTATTTCTCTGTAATTTACATGGTTAACAATATGCTGTGTTATTGTGTAAATGAGAGAGAGAGAGAGAGAGAGCTGACTTTTTTTAAAAAGAATAAATAATAAATATTTTGGTTGTTTTATAGGGTCGAAGGGGACGACCAGGACCACGTGGTCTACCTGGCGAAACAGCAGCGAAGGTAGGGTTACATGGAGAGCTCAACTGACTTCTACACTGGCGAGATCGCAATGCTCATACAGCTTATAGACTGATATTATTATTTCATGCTTACATAATATTTTAATAAATATTTTCTTCATATCAACATTTTTCATCATTGCCATCCCTTTCAGGAAAATATGCGCAAGCTTACAAAATAGCAATGTATACCTCAAATGATATATAGGCATATGCCTATTGCTTTAGCATAAATAATTTATAATTATAAAAAAACATCATTTCTGCTTAATAAGCGCCATTTTTAATTCATATCTTTATTTACATGGGGCGTTGGTGTTTGTGTTTGTGCATGAGTGCGTGCGTCTAAGCAGGTGCTTTGAATCATTGGTCTATATACTTCGCAAAAAGACGCCTTATGGCGTTGCATTTATTCTTTCAGAAACAATCAGCGCTGCTTTATTTAATCACGTGTAGAACATGAAGCATACATTTTAAATGTTATAAGTAATTACTATTAAAGTGGTCATTATTTTAATGCCAGAAAGCATGCGTGTAACATTTTTTTTTTTTTTTTTTTTCGTGTTTTTTTTTTTTTTCAATATTAATCACAAATTGGGTTATTTTTTTTATTTTTTGTTATTTACTAACTTTTTAACTAGACGTCATCCTAGACCTATCTTAATCTGGAAGACAGTGACTTCTGTTTTATGTAAGTTAATATAAAATCAACTATTATCGGGTAGTGGTTATGTCCTATAACCTATTCTTTTTTTGGTACTTTTTAGGGTGATAAGGGTACCAAAGGTAACCCCGGAGATGGTGGATTGAATGGTTTAAAGGTAAATTATTATTTCTCGGTGGTAGCAACAATTTAATTAGCCCTCTATGTTTCCAGTGGAACACATGGCCTTTGCGGTAGATTTCAATTCATTACGTTGCTTTGTATGTTCTACTCTGATGCTTGAATAACGATGGCGCAAGTTATGTCCAATCCATGACCACATGCGATCTTTGACTGAATGACTGACTGTTTCTATATGCGATCTGGGCATCGTATACGCAAGGACCTTCTTATAAAAATGTTAGTATTCAATGTCCCTGATTTACCTTTTCGTCTCCGACATTCGAGTTGAACATGGAGTTTGGTCTGCTGGTAAAAGATGTTTTTCCACACTGGTATCAGTATAATGAACACAGCACGAGCTTTGTAAATTCAGACTATGACATCCTTGACAGATTTAATTTGCAAATTTGCTTGTCAATTTTAATGATAATTCTTTTAAACAGGCATTGCCACTTTCACAAAAGAAATAAGTGTAACTAACGTTGAACAATGTCATATTTGTATGACGAAGGACTTAACATACTATTAAAATCCGTGCAAACTATAGTAAACTGGCTGAAAATGACACTGATAGTGAAAAGGTGGCATATTATGGTCATTGTCAGTCACACTCACACAAATGCAATTTCGTCCTATCCGAACGGCTATACGTTGTCCCTTGCCAGGACCTCTGTCCTGCTCCACTGACAAGGGGGGAACCACGCCGAAAAATCTGGATGAACTTTCTCGGCCAGTGCAGGGATCGGACATCCGATCTCCAGGTTCGCGAGCCAAAGTCTTATCCGCCTAGCCACTGTGGTTGATAGATAGATAGATTCATTTAGCACACACATATACAACAAAAATAAATTATATATTTATTAACATTTTTTATATATATATTTGGGGTCCCTGGCGGCTGCAGTCTAGTCCAGCTCTGGGTAAACCGCTAAAAACTGTGTACGACACCTAAATTAAAAGTTAAAATAGCAATGGATAAAAATATTTTTCACAATTTTTTTATAAAATCAAATCGAGTTAAATCGAACATTGTTTTTTTTTTTATCGACCATCCAATACCTCATTAAGCCTCATGGTTATAACCGTTCAAGTTATCTAAAGTTATATCTTGTTTATTTATTACAGGGTAATATCGGTGATCCAGGACCACCAGGACCACCCGGTCCACCAGGTAGACCAGTACGTTACTTTCTATAATTCATGTATACATGCTCATCTCTCGCTGTTATGTTTAGTTTGAATTGGGTTGGAGAGCAACTCGGGTTTACTACAATAAATCTAAAGTTACGGTGCAGAGTATCTAATCTATTTCCCGAAGCTTGGCATTTGTCACAACAGGAAACGTAGTAAGCGCCTATTATGACTTTTTGTAGTGAGTACCAAAAATTATTATGGATAATCATATAATTATAACCGTTTTGTTTTCATATTGACAGGGAATTCCAGGTGAAACAATCACTACTAACAGAATAGATCCATTACCTGTAAGTATAATGATCACATTTTGTATGGATAAATTACAGTCGGAATGCATTCCGTTGCTTGGGTAGATCTCAGTCTAGTAAGATATCGGATCGAAAGTGATGCATCCATCAGATTATAAGATATTTTGTATATTTTAGATTGGACCACAAGGAGCTGATGGAGCTCAAGGACCTAGAGGAGATCCAGGACAAAAGGTCAGTTTAGATACTTATTTGACGAGTAGACACGCTATATTACTTTGTTAAATTTTTCAAAAACATTGTGAGATATTTACTCCGGTATAAAGTTTCGTGTCGTGATAGCATCTCAACACCAATAAAACTTTATCTTTACTGTCCTTTTGGCTAAAATAAAATATATTTTTAGGGTCAAAAAGGTGAACCAGGAAAGGACGGCAGAAAGGGTACTAAGGTAAGTTCATTCAGAATCACCAGTCGAATACAACGTCACAATTAAAACGAAAGCGAGGGCTGATTGGCATCTAGTTTGAAACTGGTTATGTCTATATTTTCAGTAAGCAGAAAGACATATAAATCAAACCAATGGTATATTTCACGTAACTGATTAACTGATTAGTCGTCGAGAACAAAATTTATATGTGCCAAGTATTACATGAAATGGAGTTTAACTTCCTAATTTTCTGCACCGACAGGCCTAATGAAGAAATTTTGGCCCGACAGCAGCACAACGGCTTTCTCCTATTTCGAATTCCAACTGTCAAGGATTCTTTTACGTGCATGCTAATGTGTACACGGAACCTCGGTTGTTTTTATCCCACGTGAACGACTATATGTTGTCACTTACAAGGGGGGACCACTATGGAGAAGCCCAATGAACTTTCTTTGCCAACACAGGGATCGAACACGGGACCTCTAGGTTAGCAAGCCAACGTATTACTTACTGAGCAACCGCGGCGCCCACGTGAACTATAAGATAGCATGTAAAGGTGAGCCCAACACCGCCTAATTTTCCGACTAACTGAAACGTTGTCTTTTTTCTTTGTTCTGTTTTAGGGTGAACGTGGTGATGTTGGTTCACAAGGGAATACTGGTAAAGTTGGACCACAGGTAAATGCTTGATTTATTCATGATTATTACCACTTTTAGAAGTATTCATGTACTAGATGTAAATTCATAAAGCGTTTCGTCTCGTATAATTTTAAATCCTCTTTACACAATTTTAGAAAATAAAGTGATCTGGTTTTAATCCGGTTGTGATGGGACAAACAGTTTCGTTTCGGTTTGTTTACTTATTTTATTTCAGTTTTTGGCTGTTTTACATAAAACTAGCTCCGTGGACATGAAATTGTAAACGTAGGCATGTATCCACTTTGCCAGACGAAACCAGCTCATCAAATTCAATTAAATCGACACAATATTTAACCCAAACCTAAGCGGTCTTGTTATTTTATTTGCTTAATTTTGGCGTGTCAATGATGTATGTGTTTTCTTTTGTGCAGGGACCGGAAGGAGAGCCAGGTAGAAGAGGAGCAAAGGGTGATAAAGGCACACGAGTAAGACATTAAGCTAGTATCACTTTTATACAATAATCAGTCACATTTTTTAGGTTTTTCTCAACACGAGGAACTTCTTTGCCAGCAGGGAAGTATAAGGGAAGCAACTCCTATACTGGGAAGGCTACTGATTATTTCCCTTTGACTTAATTGAGTTATTACAAAGATGTCACAAAATCAGATCCAATTACTAGCCAATCCACCTAATTTTTCTCGCTTAAAATCAAAACCTCATCCTATGTTTGTTTAAACGCCTTTCATTAACCATATTAACTAAAACAATCAACAAAATGGTCATACAAAAGGGGAAATTTGACGGAGAACTGGTAATTGAAAAATTAGACCATCATTCAGGATCTCAATGTATCTTCATTAATTAACATTAATTCATCAGTCCATTTCTGCTATTTCATTTACACCATCCATTGCACTGCGCCATCTTGTACGTCATTCAAAACATTTATGATTGCCGATGTGTAGCCTAAAGCGCAGCAAGCTATAAAAGACGCTGTTCATCACTATGATTAAAGTCTCTCTGCGTCATTTATATCTTTCGGGATATATTTGAAACAGCTTAAAGTCTCTGGGCATCATGCCAAGGATTGATGGTCCTATTTCGTTCAGTATTTACACAGATATGATGAATTGAAAATTTGGCAATAGTCTTCATCCTCTGCAGAAGATATTAAACGGGATATGGTCAAAAGCCAGCGCCACCCGCAGTAAGAGACCCATTATATGATTTTGACCATATCCCGTTTCTATTGTTCACAGTGGATGCTGAATATTTACAAATTTTCAATTGCAGTTTTGCAGGATTCCGTGATCACATTTATGACGTTCCGAAACTTTAACCTATCAATTGTCGACAGCCCAAACTGAATGGAGCAGATCTTGTTCATATTCTCACCGTGGTTATTATATCACATGTTTTTGTAATTCACTAAACAAAATGCCATTTAAAATTCCATTTCTAGTTTGATCTGTAAAATAAATTGATTCTGTTGTTATTATTATTATTATTATTATTATTATTATTATTATTATTATTATTATTATTATTATTATTATTACGTTTATTTAATAATTTGACGGATTGAAGAGCCCTCTATTATTGATTTTATAGAGAAAAAGATCTCTCCGAATTTTAGCAGATTTGGATCTCCAAAACAAACTATACAAAAATTTGGGAGAGAGCGTTAGATAAAAATGAGTGTATGCAAAAAGTTATGTATGAATATTCAAACAGAAGCAGCCTTTAAGTCGTCGGATATATATTCAGGTGATATTTAACCACTGTGTGCGTTATCGTAATTATGCAAATGGGTAATGACGTGTAGCGGCGTATATTACTATCACCGTATATAAGTCGTCTGTGTCATTTATTTAAAAATTTATAATGGGTCTTCAATTTTTCAAATTATTAAATGAACGACTGCTTTTTGTCGCTTGTTATTAAATACTTTAATTTTATCTTTTCTTTCATTGCTATATCATTTAACACGACAATTCATTCACTCTAAGAGACAATATTTTTAGGGTATTGCCGGACAGCTAGGAAAACAAGGTGTTCAAGGTCCAATAGGGCCCAGGGTAAGGCTTCTTAATACCATTAATCCCAGATTCTTCCTTGCATATAACGGTTAAAATCACCAACAGCTTAGACTTTAAAACTAATTTTTAACTCTTAAGGTACTTAAATAATAAACATGAGCATAATATTTGTATAATTATTTAAACAATTTATTAATAAATTTATCTTTATTGCCAGTCGATGAAGTTTCGGAAGACCATGTATATTTTGCTTGTCTTTGTTTTTTTCTTTTGGCAAGGCATTGTAAATAAATGACAAAGGGATGTTAAGTTATTAATTAGTGTGTATTATGTTGATTTCTACAGGGTAGGAATGGAGAACCAGGTAAACCAGGAAGTAAAGGTGATGTCGGGAGTAGGGTACGTTTGTTATTAAAAGGTCAACTTCTTGGTAACCAATATCGCAATATATATAACCAGTGGCACAACTTAACCTATATCTGTATGACAAATGTAGCAATCTTGCTATTACCTAACCAATTTCTGTATAACCAATGGCGCAATACTGGTTTAACCAATGCCTGTATAACCAATGGCGCATTCGTGATACTTCGCTATAAGAACTGGTGCAAACTTGATATAACCAATTTCTGTTTAACCAACGGGGCAATTGTGTTATACGCAACTTGGTGATAACCAATTTCTTTATAACCGATGGGGCAATCTTGCTATCTAATTTCTTTGTAATCAATGGCGCAATCTTGCTGTAACTTAACCTATTTCTGTATAACCAATGGCGCAATCCTGCTATTTCTTTATAACCAATGCTTTGCTTAATTAGAAAAGATGCTTTACATTTCTTCGCGGCAAACATTAAATTTGGTAACAGGGTCGGTGGTGTTATTAATTTGTTATGTAGAAAACAGAATTTGGCAAATTAAAACTGTCCGAATCTTCGACAATGATCCGAAAGAAATTAGTAAGGGGACAATATATTAAGCACTTGAATCGTGTACTGTAATCAGTCGGTCTAATGAAGAGGACATACGTCATGAAGTGTTGCCTAATGACACCATGGTGCAGAAAGAATATGGCTATGCATAAAGTTGCTTTGAAAACTGTAAAACTGTTCATAAATGTTATTTTTGGTTTGAATTACTTCTAATTTATTCCCAAGGAATGGACAACAATGTGCTGCTTTCATAGTTCTATGTACTGCGCCCACACGTTTATTAACTATTTTTATTTATATATTTTGAGAATAAACAATCTTCAGTGAAGCGCATAATATTTAACATGTTAGATTAATTGGGCCATAAATAATATGAGAAATATTCTAGCCTTGTCGTTATTATAAATGCAATCGGTTAATCTTGAAAACCTGATCTGTTTGGTAAGCGATCATTTTGTTTGCTGTTTTGGTACTAAATAGATGCAGTGACTTTAAAGAAGATTCTGGTAGCCGTGGAATGATCGTCCTTTAATCGGATATAAACTACATAATATTGTGGTGGATTTGCGGAACGCATACAATTAGAAGGCTTTTGGCGGGGGTACTCGGATAAGGCCAGCGCACACAAAGCTCTGTTTTGTCCAATGATGCGATTCTAGTCTGCGATCGTTGCGTATGCTCATTTATGTATTACAAATCACTAACTGCTTTTAGCCTGCTGCATGTTTTAGCTTATGCCTATTCTGATGTAATCTTATTTATGATAATAATAAAAAAAAAACGCCCTAAGATTGTAATGGTTGATGGACAGGGGAGAAGAGGGTCCAGTTTTATGTTTCCTAACCTCAAAATGTTTTTGGATAATATTCAGACCATTTTTCGGTTTTGACTTACGTCAAATTAGGCTGAAACACTACTTTTAAAGTTGTACAGAAAACACTAGATGTACATTTTAAAATATCGTTATATCGATACTAGTATGGTGTTAAACACAACATTAAATGAACAAAATATACACAGATTTGGAATGGCATTTGGAACACCTCACTTTCCATGGCTTGGTATACTGGCAAACCCAGATTCTTGCCACCAGTTTTTAAAGGCTCTGGAAAGAGTTATACATATCAATGACAATGTAGACTATTATTTAAGGTGTAATTTGTTCTTTATTGATGGTGAGTAAGTTTTATTGGCATCTGTCGACTGTCCATTTTTTGTGTGAAGACTCTAGCGATGTTTGTCGTCATTGCTCAGTGGATCCTAAGGAAGATCGCCACCACTCATATCCATAATCGTATAAAACTGGATATAGGACAACGAATCGATTAGGAATTTTCCTAATCAATATCTGTATTATCAAATTTATTAGGACATGCGTACATGTACGACATAAACCAAATGTTTGCAAAAGTACTCTCAGTCAGTTGAAAACTAAGAGATCAGAGTTCATAGATCCCGTATTCGTCAAGAGGGCGTATGGCCACAGTACATAATTAATTTCCCCATTGGATCTAATGTTAATTCTCGTCTCTTTGACCACATGTTCGTGGATTTGGGCGCTTTCTATCTACCACAGATGGGGCAACAACATGTGACAATCGCTTGCTCAAAAGCATCTATGAGGTTCACCACAGATATCTTGAGATACAAACCTGACAGAAAATGTATATTCAAACCCTATTCTTCGATTCTAGACCAAAAACAAGACAATTATAGATTTTCATACCCCTACCGATCATTCTAAAATATCACAAAATATAATTTATGTTACCTTTTTTTCTACTTTCAGGGGCCGCCAGGACCTCGAGGATTTCCCGGTATTGTGTCGGAGAAGGGACAAGTGGTATGGGGCGACTTCATACAACAGTTCCAAGTACTACTCCAGTTGATTTTTATGCATGAACCGCACAGTACACTAACCCCGCACATTATTAGTATTTATAGTGCCTCCACACTACCTTTAACCCTTTGTCCTAGTCATGTATACAAACAAAACCAATAGCACCGCTTGGGAAGGTTTTTCTTTTGTTAGATTTTAGAGAAAGACATAGTAGCCTATTTTTATTATTCGTATGTGTAAT